GCATGGATCAATTTCTGTTCCTGCTTCCTATGGATAAAAAAGCAGAGTAGACTTGGGAGTCAATCTATGAGGACTACTACTATGAGTTCAAAATTTTGAAGAAAGCAATGGCGAAACATTTCCCTTTTCTCCCCAAGTAGATCTGGCAATGAACAGATAATAAAAAAGGAAACCGTGGAGACTCATGATCGTTTATGATACTATTAAAAATATAACATTTGGGATTAAGAATTTTCACTATTATTATTTTACTATTTGTTTTTCCATGTTGATATTGTTTTTCACCATCGCAATGTAAGAGACGTTTCAGCATGGGTTGAGGGCTAGCGAGGCTAGTCGAGTTAACCATGTGTATTAAGTTTCACACCTGGCTGGTGCCCATGTAATATTCTTCATACAATAACTAAATAAATGTCGAGATGTCGTAAAAAAGTACTGAATAGACCATCTTCAGAACATATTCATAAAACATGAATATGTCCTGAAGATGGTCTATTAGACCGAAACGTCCGACGTTGACATTAAACATTAAAACAGCATAAACGCATATTAGGATTTTTTTGTTTTTTTTCAGTATTTTTCTTCATACATACATACATATATATATATATATATATATATATATATATATATATATATATATATATATATATATATATATATATATATATATGAAATAGGGGCAGTGAAAAGTTCTTGGTCCAAATAAAAAAGGAATCTCGTTTAGATGCTCAGTACTTTTTTTTTAGAAAAGAGTACATCACCATAATATGATATAGAACATCAAAGGCTGTGGTTCGGGTAGTGACATTGAAATCAAGTATATTTGATCATATATGTAACCAGTGTTGGCTAATAAGACGACTGAAAGAATCAGCGCTCACGCAGACACAGGCACACACAGAGACAGGCACAGGGGAGTAATGGATAGCGGCTTAGATTGAGGAATCGGTGAGCCGAGTTCGAATTCTAGTCGAATCCATTACATTCACTTACGAATCCTCTTCTTCTCCAACTAGCTATTGGTAAATTGCAGTACAGACTGGGTTTTTGGATGGCAACTGATCTAGAAGAAAGACAACTCTGAATTCAAAACCTGCGGAGGGTCGTTTAGGGACCTTGTGGCACGTAGTGCTCCAGGTCTCTGTATTCGGCCCTTCAAAAAGTGTGGATAGTTCTGCATAAAGCTATCACCACTATAATCGAAAGACATGTGCTGGTGTCTGGCTGTCGGTTCCTAGGAGATGAGCTGCCTGATCCTCATACGACGGGAGATATATATATCTGGCATAAGTGTCTCTGAGGCATTGAGAACTTTTTTTTTGATACATCCACGATATATATATATATATATATATATATATATATATATATATATATATATATATATATATATATATATATATATATATATATATATATATTGGGAGGGGTATAATTATTTGTTTACGGCTTTATTTCATCTTGGCTGAATGTGGGTTTTCCCCACTTTAGCTGAGGCTGGTTGGTCATGCATGGTTCACGAACACCGTCCATACTTCTTTTCCATCTTAGCCTTTCCTGGGGTTATAAAAGCTCCCATTTTCACATTGCAGCCGAACGCCTGACGATTGCTTAAAGACATGAAAATTATAGAAGTGGTCGGACTGTGAACACCTGAAAAATGATTCTTTGTTTTTATATATATATATATATATATATATATATATATATATATATATATATGCAATTGTAAGATGAGTGTTTGGTTTGAACGGTTGCTTGCCTTGTTCAAAAAATGTTCCCTCCAGATTAAGCGTTGTCTCGCAGGAACTGTATCTAACCTACACTTCGCATAATTGTAGTATAAATCACAGGTGATTCTGTGTTTGATGAACAAACACAATGAGTCTAAGCTACAATAGTCTATAATAGGAAATGACTAACCGTCCTAGCAGACGTGTGTGTCCAGTAACGGGTTGCCGGCTTTTATATGCATGCGAAAATTTTGGAGCGATGTAGAAGGTTCCCCAGATCGAAATGTTTGATAATTTCTGCAATGGTTGAAGTTTTTAATCAAGTAATTATTAAGACAAGAATTTCCGACATAGTTTGACACAAGGTCATTACCAAGGGGCACCTAGTGAGAATCAAACAATACAATAATAACGGGTCAACAAGACTAGCTTGATAACAATTACCTCTTCGCTGAGAAATGCAGCTTAGCTTCTTTTTTATTATTAAGCTTAGCTTAGTTTTTCCACAACCTTTGTTAAGCTTAGCTTATTTTTTTCACCCAAAAAATAAAAAAATATATCTCGCCAATGTATCCCAAATGCTCAATGCCACAGAGTCATGCCAGAGCTATATATTCAAAAAGTGCGGTTGGTTCTGTACAAAGCTTTAACCATTATAATCAAATCATATGTGCTGGTGTCTGGCCTGTCGGTTCCCAGAAACTGATCTACTTGACCCTCATACGTCGAATACGACGGGAGAGACCAGCATATATATTTTAACAGCATGCTATTAGTCCTTTATATTTCTTAGTTGAATGATAGCAAATGGTTTGCATAGATTCCTTAAATTCTTTCCTAGTTGCATATATATATATATATATATATATATATATATATATATATATATATATATATATAGTCGACTCTTCCGTCGTATGAGGATCAGTACAGGACATCCAGAGAGAATTGAACAAACATTTAATAGTAATAGTCAATCATACGGACTTGGTAACTATTAACCTACGATGAGACAAACCAATAGCAGTTACTAAAATGTTAACTAATCTGACTTGTAGAAATAGGTCTTTGTAAAGTTGTTATTCGTTAAAAACTACTTTTTATTGCAGACATACCGACTGGATATTATTAGCCGTTGATATTCTTATTATTTTAAGACATTTGTGCAAAACTTTGATACCGAAATCTTTCATTCTAGTTTCCCGTATTCGGCAACTGACAGATCATTGATTTCTATTATTCTATTTTTGTAAGAATGATAATTTAGAAACAACATTCTTTTTTGTGAAATATTTATGAGGTTTTGTTTTGGTTTGGTTTGGTTTGGTTTACGGCATATCAACCTGACTGAGTTATTTAATGCCGACAATATCTTTATTGCTAGTAATATCTTTTTTCAAAAAAGTATTGCTGGTAATAATGTATTGCTGATAATTTTTTTCAACAAAACTTCATTGCTGGTAATAGTTTTTTGCAAAAATGTATTGCTGGTAATAAAACCTATTTTTACACGTTTTGAACCGTTTGGCGGTTTTAACTATTTCCCCATAGCTGGGACCCTAAGAGGTGCTACCACCCCCTGGTCAGGGTGGACCTAGGAACACCAGCAATTAAGAGATGGTTCCAAGTTACTCAAAACCTCCTGATTAGAGGCCTTGCTGTTGGATGTAGTTTATCGTCTTACTCAGGACGGTGAGGTTTTGGCTATTTGCATAGAATGAAAAAAAAATCTCTGATTTCACCGTTTCTAGAATACGGAAAATTGTCCTTTCTTTTTATTGCGACTCTTCATCACTTTATTTCCACCACTGTTCTTCAGGTGTTTAGTCAATCTGGGAATCTTGCTTTTATCTCTAACTTTTCGTTTTATAAGCTGGAAAAAAGCTAAATGTTGTGTTTGACGATTTTTTGTCTTTTGAGAATTAGAAATTACATAAAGTAAAAAAAAAATGAAAATTACAGGATGTGGATTATGCCTGAAGACGGCCGAAGAACATACCGGCTGAAAAGTAGAGAGCGAAGGGCAACAAAAACAGTAATAATAGTCAAAAAAGTTTTGCTTCATTGATTTGTTTGTTTAACGGCATATCATCTCCTTATGGGTCATTTAATACCTAAATTTAATTTTCTTGGGAGATTTGAAACAATAAATGTATGATATATGTTATTCTGCTTTCACAATTGACTACATGGTAGATGATACTCACCTTTTGTGCATATACATGTCTGTGTGGACATAATTATTAAAGGCGGTTATATTTGTGTGTTTTACGTTGTAGATTTGTTGAAGATATTTTGGAGATACAGTTTGATTTAAGAAATTCTAGGATAATATATGGACTAATGTCATGAAAGAGTTCTTTCATGCTGGTTGTTTGGTGGGTTGATTTTGTTTGACATATCAATATCTCTATGGGTCAATTAATACCGAAATCTAAATATTTTGTACATAATTTTGTACTTTCAGAGAAAAGACGTTTTTTTAGATATATAATTTGAAGATGAGAAAATGTTGGTAATTTTGATATAAAAATGTATTTTTATATTTGTTTAATGTTTCATTGATTATCATTTTGTTATAAAAATGTATTTTTGGTCATTTTATTATAAGAATGAACTGTTTATTTTTGTTTGGTGGGGTTTACTATTTGTTTATATCTGGGACCCTAACAGATGCTACCAATCCGGGTCAGGGTAAAGCTGGGAACAACGGCAATTAAGAGGTGGTTCTACGCTCCTGAAAACCACCAATCTCCCGCCAATCCTTGCTGCCAGATGTAGTTCATCGTCATACACATTACGTACATTGATCGAATAATGTCAACGTTTCATATTAGGACTTTGTCGCTGTCGTCGTCTATAAATTGAATAGTTTTTCCTGTCAGCTTTCAAAAACGTTTTGTATCCATTGTTTGCCCCGGTCCCTGTTGACTCAGTAAGCTTCCACTTTTGTGAACAAACTCGATATGTATTTTTCTTTCATACGCCAACCGCGTAATGCAACCGCAGCGATAAAGAGATTATAGGCCTTGCACATTCAAGTCATCACGGATGTTCCTTGTGATTCTATCAGTGTCATGTAAATAAGCCGCTCAGAGAGCATCCGTTGATAACTGCAGTGAATAGAGGAGACACTCACCACTCACTCCTCTCACCCATCTCCAGGTATACCTGACAGTCCAAAATCCTCTCCTTCCATGGAGAGGTCTGTTAGTATCAGCGATATTGTAACCATCATCGGTTTTCTAGGGATTTCCGAGTAGCTAACAGTACCTGGTATTCCCCAGGGGTCAACCATTTGAGTAATGACCAGGATCAACGTTGCTTAACTTCGGTGATTTGATGAGAAGCAGTGTTTCAACGGGATGTAGCCATAAGTCAAAAAGAGGACGAACCTTGATAATTCAAGAAAAAAAGAAATGACTCATTCGAATTTCGAGGATGCAGCATTGAACACACTCTAAAATGTCAAACTCTATGACTCACTGAGATCACGTGGAACGCATCTATCAAGAATCCTCAAATTGGCAATTGTCTTGAGAGGTCCCGATATCGTTGAAATGATGACACCCATTATCTGGGACATTTCTCTGACACTTTGGCGTTGGTTTTGTTTGACTAGTGTTTACAAATGGTCATTTTTAGTTGCATATGGACGTCTACTACCACGTTGTTCTCAACTCGTATCCCCACTGCGGAAATTCAGAAAACCAGCACCGTGCTCTCCGATTCTCCCTTCATCCCATGCTCTATTAATGTTGGTTAATGTTGGCAGCAAAGTTAGGATGCTTGTCTCCGTTAGTAGTTGCATAATTAAAAGAAAAAAAAAACTTGTAGTTCCAACGAATGATTTATTTTTATGGAAATATTTCGACTAGCAGTTGCCAGTCTTGGTCATTCCTTAATTTGAGTCAACACAGTGCAAAGAAGCTCGAGACGCTTAAGAATTCAAATCAAATTCCTGCAATAGGATAGACGAAGCACACCTCCATCCTGTCTGGACATCTCTGCTCCAAAGAAAAATATGATATGACAAAAAAGGCAATTTATAGAGTAAAAAACGAAAATCTTTTTTTTGTAAACCTCAACTTGCTATTACGTTGTAAACGTCATCAACTCAGTTTGTTTTCCTTGGTTTGAATTCTTAAGCGTTTCTAGTTTCTTTGCACTGATTTTACTCAACCAAGATGGCAACTGCTAGTCAAAATATTTCCATAAAAATAAATCATTCGTTGGAACTACAAGTTTTTTTCTTTTAATCGCATTATTTAATTTAGCAATCGACTAAGTTTCCTCGGCGATCCCTCTTGTCCGTTATATAACTGCTCCCTAAACAGTGCGTCGGCCCCGAGCTACGACTTTCATTCTCAGAGATGAAAGAGAGTTTAACATTCATGAATCCTCTAAGACATATTGATTGATTTTGTTTATAGCCTATCTACCTTCCGCAGGTTATTTAAAGCCAGAAAATTATTTTAGATTGTAAGAATGTTTTTTGAAATAATACTGATTTATAGATATAAGCCCTACTAATTGATCTATAACTGGGAGAAGAGGTGGATTCATAGCTTTCCCAAGGATATTTATGCGTAAGTAAATATAACGGATCCGACTGGAATTGAAATTTAGCTCTCTCATCTCCAATCTCGAGTAGTTATCCATTACACCACCCACACATCTTCTGAAAAGGTTGCTGGAATAGTTTTATATATGAAGTTATCATATAAGCGGTTTAAAACATTTGGTGTCCTTTTCGTTTCAAAGTTATGATGCTTGTTTCCGTTGGATGTATAATTAAAAAAAAAACAACAAAAAAACTTGTAATTCCAATTTTTTTACGCCTCAACTTGCTATTACGTTGTAAACGTCATCAACTCAGTTTGTTTTCCTTGATTTGAATTCTTAAGCGCTTCGAGCTTCTGTGCACTGTTTTTACTCAAATTAAGGAGTAATCAAGACTGGCAACTGCTAGTCGAAATATTTCCATAAAAATAAATCATTCGTTGGAACTACAAGTTTTTTTTTTTTTTTTCTTTTAATTAATGTTGGCAGCAGTTTGAGAAGCATTATGACCAAACTTGAACAAAAAGAAAATGCATCTCTTTTTATTTCATGCTCAAGATAAAAGGTATATACAATGTTTTAAGCTAAATTCTGAAAGAGATTGACATAAAAATAACAAAAAAGGACGTTTTAATAATTAAGAATGGGCAATATATATTTGTGCAACTATATTAAATATATATCAGAACACAAAGGTTTATTCTAAAATCTGACATTATTTTCTAAGCCACCTAATAATTCTTCAATAAAAAGGAATCACTTGCATTATTTACATTACTCGGACTCTTATCCTCATCTTCATTGCCATATTCACAAGGTTTTGGCAGTTGTACGCTCCGGCCTTCGTCAGGTGAAAGGAATTTCGTACCGAACCCTTTATTTCGTCCACCAGGGTAGATTGTTCTAGTTCCACGTGCCATGTCTCTTCCGGATGTCTCAGTTATTTCCCTTTAACTCAACTCTCCAAGTTTTTGGTTCACCACTGCTGTGGCCTCGTATTGAAATCACATCTCTTTAGGTCTAGTCACTGGATCTAACCAACGTCTTTATCCACTGGGTCATATGTCCCGGAGGACCAAATACTTAGAGAGTTGAGTTAAAGGGTAATAACTGAGACATTCGGAAGAAGCATAACACGTGGAACGAGAACAATAAATAACACGTGGAATAAAAATAAAGGGTTCGATTCGAAATTCTAATCACCTGAAGAAGACCGGAGCGTACAACGACCGAAACGTTGTGAATATGGCAATGAAGATGAGGATAACAGTCTGAGTAATGTAAATAATACAAGTAATCATAATACCTCATATCAGAGTTATAGACATATATTGAAAAAAAAAAAGAAAAAGAAATCAACCGTAGTCAGGAACATCGTGTCAATACGAAGCATCTTTTCCTTTGCTGCATAACATGTGCTTCGCCAGAGATTTTTCAATACCTGCTGTTGTAGAATAGTTTTCACAGTGGAGGCTTGTATTTCACTGAGTCGGTCCTAAAAAGGTTCGATGTACAAAACGTTAGGAACTTGAAATAATAGTTAATGACGAAGCAATCTAGTTGTGGTGGTTGATACTTTAATGTCCGACATCGACTGACTCACCAACTCACTCTGAGCCCCCTGGCGACTGCTACTACTACTACTTATAATAGGTGGGAGAGTCTATTAACAATAGAATAGGTGTGTTTCCGTATAACACTTACATTGAAATAATCATTAATATTTACATTCTGATATTCTTTCCTTTCTTTGAAAATTAGTTAATATCACAGTGGTTAAATTTCGTATACCATTTTAAAATTAGTTTAGATTAGATACATATCAAAAACTGTGTTGTATGGATTGAAAAAGGGGTCTTCAATGGCGAAAGCGAAAAGAAACATTTGTTAGGTCTTTGGAAATGAAGCTTTAAGTATCTGGACGTACTAATGATGGTCAGAATCGTCCATTATATGTCAATATCAAGCTCCAGCAGACCCTAGTTAAGGTAAACCCTAAGCAGCTTTAGAAGAATTAACAAAACAGTTCAATCAAGTCACATTTCGACCACAAAACATAATCTGATTGTACATTATTTACATTATTCGGACTACTGTCCTCATCTTTGTCACCATATTTATTACAACGTTTCGGCCGCTGTACGCTCCGCCTTCTTCAGGTGGTTGGAATTTCGAACTGAACCCTTTATTTCGCTCACTGGGGTAGACTGTTCAAGGACGCATGGCACAGTGCATAAAGGCGTTGGTTAGATCCAGTGACAGAGTCCAAAGAGTGTGAGTTCAATACCCGGTTAAGGCAGTGGAGAACTTGGAGAGGGAAATTAACAGGAGATACCTGATAACTGACATCCATCAAACATGGCACGTGGAACTAGAACAGTCTACCCCAGTGAGCGAAATAAAGGGTTCAGTTCGAAATTCCAACCACCTGAAGAAGGCCGGAGCGTACAACGGCCGAATTGTTGTGATAAATATAGCGACAAAGATGAGGTAGTCCGACTAATGTAAATAATGTGCGTAATACCTCATTTCAGAAATACAGACATAATCTGACTGCTTTTCAGTTTAATAAAAGTGTTGACCTCTGCTCGTTATCGAGGAACAAACTTATTACAGAATGTGTCGTGTTCATTCAAGACGTTGGCGATCATGGTTCTCTATAATTTCCTGTATATTGTAGCTCTTTGTAAATGTTGTACTTTTATTATCTCTCCTAAACCCTGTTCTGTCATCCATTTATACAAACTCGTTACCAGGTTATAACCAGTTTTTTCCTTGCCCCTCTTGCCTTCAATATGTTCGGTGAATGTCAAAAATTCCTGGCCCACTTTCCTCATTATGTGTCTTAGTGTTGTGAGACCGTAACATACGTACAACATGGACTCTTCTAGGACTATATAAAGTATGCGATATAACACTCTAGGTGAAGAGGAGGAAAGAGAGAGAGAGAGAGAGAGAGAGAGAGAGAGATACTCTAATACCATAGTATCAGCCGCGTACGACTACCAATATTGGACACTAGCACATAGTAAGCTCCGCTTACACTTACACTATCTTTGTAACCTTTTTGTTTAATATATCTTTCTTACCTCTAATCCGTGTTCCGTGTTTTCCTTCCGTGGTCCCCGACTTTGGGACCACATCACTTAGAAATTTCAACTGTCCCTTTCTGATGTGAATTATATTTCCATTTTCTCTAAAACATCGTCGATGTTTACATGTTCAACCCATGATATTCTCAGCATCCTTCTGTAGATCCAAATTTCTATCGCCTCACGTTTTTTCTTCATCTGTGATGGGATTGTCCAGTATTCACTGCCATATAGGAGGACTGATATTAGGCAACAGTTCAGTACATTTTTCTTTGTTTCTAACAAAATATTTCTGTTTATTAATATTTTGCTAAACTTTTGAAAGGTGTCTATCCCAATATGCTTTCGGATTTCGGTGTCACACTTTCTGTCCTCTGTTAAAACACTTACCATATATTTAAATTGTTGTACTTGCTTGATTTTATTGTCTTCAATATGTAATTTGCTTGTTGAGCTGTTCCCTTTACTGACAATCATGTTTTTGTGATGTCAACGAACACTCGTTGCCACTTTTGTAATGTCAACGAATACTCGTTGTCACTTTCGTAATGCTCGTTGTAGTAGAGACTTTGTAATCGCAGATACAACTATAGTAACGCCGTTGAACAATACTGGTGTCAGACGCCTTCGAATAACACTCGCAATGATAGTACTTGCTCGACAATTCTCGCTCGCAAAGTAGCCACCGTATAGTGATCTGAATGTGTA